TCTGAGGAGGCTTTAATATGTGCCACTCTGGTGCCCAGTCTCCAGTTGGACCAGGATGCTGCTGTGTTGGAACAATAAAGAAACACGTGGAGAAACAGTCCCTTTCCAAGACATTAGCTGCTTAAGTAGAAAAGTACTTTCATTTCATCTGATATTAATTGAAACATAAATTACATTGGTAAATACAAGAATTGACTCTAGGTTTTCCAGCTGTAAACCCAAGTTTTTAATCACATGGCAATCCAGCCAATCCCTCTTCTAGTTATGGGTTGCTCTTTCATTAAGCCTTTACTTTATTGTTTTTGTTTTAATTTTTAGTCAGGTATTTTGTACAGTGATTGCTGCAGAGACTAACAGATTACACTTCCTTCAGTGTGATTAATTGGTTTACCATAATTCTCCCAGTGTGACTGGGGAATGGGTCATTTACAAAGCTTGATAATGATAAGCATATGCAAAAGGACACTTATAGACCAAAATTTATTATAGTCTGATCTTTCTAAAATGTATACATGTAATAAAAACTTTCTGAAATCAATACTGTTGATCTGATGATGCATTAACACCAGGTTATCTCTAATATATGAGATAAATTGAGACTTTTAGTATGGGAAGAGTGCTAATGTTCTTATTAGCAATTACATAAAAAGATCACTTAGCACAGCTATAAACTATTGCATTGTAAGATTTAAAAGTAGTTTGGAACTCTTAAGGACCATGCTATATATAGCTAATCTTTTCTATATTACTAGAGAATATGTTTCTATTGAAATGTATGTAAATTTGACACATCGGGTCAGTTCTAAAAAGGTAAAGAAAAAAGATTAGCAGTAACTAAATTGAATGAATTATGTACTTACTGACAAAGAACACTGGTATTTTCTAATCCCTTCTAAGACTTTTTCTCTCTGTGCAAGATTATGGATAGTTTTCCTGAATAAAATAATGTTTTCAAAGGTCCCTAAAGGCTGACACCTGAATCTTCTTACCTTTTAGAAAGAAGAAATATTTCTTAAAATTATGGGGCCTTATTAACACTTTCAAACTGGTTCAGAAGAAGATTAGAAATTTATATGCTACCAGATGATAGTCAACATTTCTGAGAAAAAAAACCTGCCTCCAAAAAAAACTAAGAGTTTTGTGTGGGGTCAGTGTCTTTGTAAATCACCCCAGAATGGTTGCCAACATTACATGGCTGGTAATTATAGCTAACCTCCTAGAGGAATTTAATTTACATTTACTTTCATATGGGTCAAACAATGATGAATCATATGCCTTTAAAATAGGTCCTCTCCAGCTCTCTTCTTCCCTCTGGGCACTGGAAGGCTGCTCTAAGGACAGCCCTGCTCTTCCTCCAGCTGAAAAACTCCAACTCCCTGAGCCTGTCTTTATAGGAGAGCTGCTCCAACCACCTGATCATCTTTGTGGCTCTCCTTCAGATTCACTCAAAGCTGTTTCCCGCTCAAAAATTAAAATCACAAAGCTATTATTATAACTTCTTTAATACAGTATCTTTAAAATTATTATTGTTATTTTTATTTTAAGGAGAAAACTAAAGAAAGAACCTTCTCTTGAATACATTTGATTCAAATTAAAATCTTTTGAACTGCACTAAAACTCTCTCTCTCAAGTCAGTTCAACCTTTATGTGTTATGGATGATTTCATGGATTTGTGCAAATGTTTTGTGACCCTCCCTTACTCCCTGGTCTGAGCTTCTGTTTGCCTGTACATCTCTCTCATGATGCATTTTGACATACTGTCATGGCAATCATGCACTGCAGAAAAGGCTGCCTTACTCTTAGGCAGGAGGGAGGGCTCTAGAATGACAGGTCCCACAAGGCACTTCAGCCTCACAGACTGCTGAATCTTCATGTGGCTTTCAACCAACTTTTCTTCAGCTGGTTCTAATGCAAGAAAATTAAATATTCTTTTGGATTTAGAGGAAAAAAAATTCTGTTTTTTTCCAAAACATTTCAAACAATTTCTCAGAATGTTTTGGTATTCAGTCTGTTTCTGGAACAAAAGTAACATCAAAATATTTGAGCTTAGGAAACATTTGAGTGAATGTTCGTGGGTGTCTCAGTCGATCCCTAAAATGAAGAAAAGGTGCTGTTGAAGACAAATAAAAGGAAGAGGAGTTCCCAAAAGATGGTAGTGGCACAATGAAATATTTGGTATATAAAGTAGATCAGGCTTTTATGTGAATATCAGGGAACTGCTTGTCCTGTATACAGTGGCATTCACAGAATTGTAGAATAAGCTGAGTCAGAAAGGATCTGCAGGGATCGTTGAAGTCCAATTCTTGGCCCTGTGCAGCACTATCCCTAAAAATCACAGCATGTGCCTGAGTGTAATTTCCAAATGCTTCTTGAATTCTGTCAGGCTTGAGGCAATGATCGCTTCCCTGGGGAGCCTGCTCCAGTACCCAACCATCCTCTGGGTGAAGAATAATTTCCTAATATCCAATCTCCCCTAACACAACATTTCCTGGGGTTGTATTGTTGGTCACGAAATAGAAGGAACCCTTCCACTTCACCTCACGAGGAAGCTGTACACCACTGTGAGTTCTCCCCACAGTCTCCTCCAGGCTGAACAAACCAAGTGACTTTAGACACTCCTGATACAGCTTGCCCTCAAGGCCCTTCACCATCCTCATGGCAGTCCTTTGGGTGCTCTCTAAGAGCTTTATATCCTTCTTAAATTGTGGCACCCAAACCTGCACAGAGGACTCGAGGTGAGGCTGCAGAAGCATAGAGTGGGATAGGAGTGGATAAGGCTGAATGATTCAAAATGCTCTTTTCTTAGCCTTTTGTCTAGGATGTGCTACTACTTGTTTCCTATTCCTCTGCACAGATTTACCTCCACAGGTCCTCATTTGATTCCTAAACTAAGCTATTATTTTAGTTGAGTTTCTTGAGAATTTCTTTCTATTTTTTTTTTTTCTTACTATTTTGTTTGACCAGAGTGGTCAATTGAAAATAACTGGCTAAAGTTTCTCATGAACTTTGACTATGGGAAACTCTACAGATGGACAAATATCTAAAAAGCACTTTGGTTTATGGCTTATTGTGGAAATGAAATCATGCTGCCTTTGTGCAAGCATATACAGATGTGGGCACCCTTCTAAATCACTTTTAAGCTCATTGTCCTTGCAGAAATCAGCTCTCAGAGATAATTTCCCTCTGTGAAAACAGATAATGGTATAGAGGAAGAAGATATCATACATGCCCTCAGGAAAAGATGTTGGGTGAGCTCATCCTTTTTGAAGCACTAGGTAGTCAACAGCAGAGGGATGACACACAAGTGACCTGGCCTTAAAAGTTTCAGGAGAGCTTGCACCTTTCTAGAGAAGTACAACAGAAGTGACTTACAAGTTGTAGAAACCAAACAAAGTTCATTTAGTATTTCTAATGTTTGAAGAGAAAATATCTGTGGGATGTTCCCATGGTAGTCATTCATTCATTCATTCATTCATTCATTCATTCATTCATTCATTCATAATGGAAAGTTTCTGAACCTGAATTAAGGAGCAGACAGAGAAAACTTTTTCAGTGAGATGTTTGTGTTCCTGCAGTTCTCCAAAGCGATTCCTGTCTGGAAAGTGTCAAGGGAAGAAAATAAACTAAAAATACAAGTATAGCTAATGTATTTCTCTCTATTCTGTCATGTAGCTATCTCAGTATATGATCAAGAAATGCACTGGTCTCTTTTTATGCCACAGTTCTATGCTTGGCTCAGGATTGCTACAGAGAGATGTTGGATAGGAAGAGGCTTATCAACTGTGCTTAGTTCTCATGTTGTTTTGACATCCTGCTATCAAGAAAGTCTTCTGAGGAAAAAGAGATGAGATTGTTAGATAATTCATCTAGGTCAGACTGGTATTAAATAGAAACAAGTAAAATTCTTGCATTTCACGACATTTGGAGTTAATATTCTGTGACATTTTGATTTAAAACTTTGCTTTGTTTCAGTACTGGAAGTCATTTTAGTATTTCTAATAAAACGACCAGGGAGGGGAAGTTCCAGAAGGACCAAAATCCCTTCTTTAGGAACAATGCTATGCCATAAAAACTGTGCTAATTAGATTTGCATATTCTGCAAAGAGAGCTGAAATGAATTACCAAGTGATGGATGTTGCTTAGTCAAATGTCACTTTTAGTGTAAATGTTCAGCAGAAAGCTTTTGCATGAGATTTAGATCTCTTTCTAAAAGTCATGCTTCATCTACATTCTGTGGAGGGAGGGGAATTCAGCCTAAATATGTGACATCGGTAGAGCTCACTTGTTTTTATCTCAGTCTAAAAGCCACTAATATTGGAAGCTGGTCTCCCTTTATACTGTGAACTGACCCTAAAACCCAGCCAGAGTAAACACTGAATCTGTGAGGACATCCCAGCCAAAATTTGAATGCCACAGCTTATATGTAATGTCTAAACTTTTCCTTCTAATGTTGACAGTGTCTTAGATTTATCTCTATTATACTGCTGTCAGTGCTCATCGATTTTGCACACTCCAGCTTGACGGACCATTTAATTAACATTAATCTGTTTTGAATATACAGCCTGCATAGGTAAGATGTGTACCCTGTTCCTTGTTAAGTGCTATCTTTATATAATTAACTGTTGATAGCCTATACCTCATTTACAGATAAATTTCCTGTAGTGTGACAATTCTTATTTTAACTTTGGTGGTTTTTTTGGTTGTTTTATTTGTTTTAAGGCAAGGTCATTGGCAAAGTTGTAGGTGTAATTTCTTACTGTAAAGCCTGACTTCTAACACCATAATGGTAACTGGACTATACAGCTGGTTCTTGAAAATAGGCCTTTGAATCATTTCCCATCTGGTTACTTCGAAGTTTATGGAAAATTAATTTGGTGTCGTTCCCCAGATGTCCAGCCTCTTTTGCCATTTATGTTAATTGACCCAATTTATTGGCAAAGTTGAAAGAAGGAACAAAAAGTTAATACATTGTAGAGATCAAATTTCTCTCTCTCTCACAGAAATGACTGAAAGGCTGTCAGGATGGGTCAGGAGAGCTGGCACTCCTAATTTACTTTCCAAGAGGAAAGGACTTCTTGCAATAGTCAGGGAATTTGCAGAAAATCTGAATGAGACTTCTTGTCTTATTTGAAGAAAAGCTTTCATTCCCAGTGAGTATTGTATCTATTAGAACAGTGAAAATATACATTCAACCAGCACTAGCCAAGCTGAAAATTATTATAAGGGGTCACTTAGGAGTAGGTTGTTATAATTTTTTTTTGTCCTATAGTCAAGGTTAGGAGAGATGACCTAAGGATTTATTTCAAGTATTTCATGTACATCTGAAATAAAAAATTGTCTGTCTTCTCAATGTAGGTATCAAGCTACAGAACCGTACTATCTAATTTCAATAATTCTTTAGGAAGAGGGGAATATAATGACTGAGAATTGTAGAAGGTGAACTTGCTGACTGTAAAGAACACTAATATTAGTAATATTATAAGATTTGTGGTATGCCTTCCTTAGAGAAAGGCTAATATCTCAAGTCACTGAAGCAAAAAAATTACTCCAAGTTGTGATTTTTTGATTCTAAGATCAACCAGGATCCAAGAATTTGTCTAAGAGAAGTTCAGACATGGGAACTTCAGTGTATCTGGGATGCTGCTTACACCATGGGCCGATGCAGGCCATATCTTTACCAATGTAGTCATGGAAATCAATAACGAGAGGGAACTGAAAAACAACTACATCAAAGCTGGAACTTCAGGTAAGCAAGTACCAGATTTACCTTACTCCAAAGGTAAATCATTAGCTTTGCCTCAGGATCTGATTTCTGGTTTTTAAAAGGATTTTCTAGGCAGACCTGTGATCTACATCTTAATCACTGCTTTTTTGAAAGATTGATTATTACATGAAGACCTGTGATCCGTAGGGTAATCAGTTTTAAAATTTTGGATGCAGTTCAAGGCAAATATGTCAGGTCTAAATCTAAAATCTCTTGGTATTTCACTGTCATTTTCTTGTTTCTACAGGCAAAGACTCCACTGAGAGATGAAGTTAAAAAAGATAAAAAAGAAAGCAGATGAACAAATGCTACATGCCTTAATTCTGGAAATTGTAACAGCCCTGCCAGAAAAAATACTATTTTGCTGGTTAAGTGAGGCTGTGGATACCCCTCCTTGTCCAAGCTGGCTCTACTGACTGGAGATAACCCCAGCTGCTCATTGTAATCCTGTCTCCATCCATGGCTATTCAAATGAAAATAATCGTGCCACCGTTTCTGGGCCATCTGGGTGAACTGAAACCAGAGACCTGGGTGGACTGAATCCACTGGTCATGCTAACAGCAAGTGTAAGAGGAAAGTATCCCACAATATTCCTAACTGCAAATGGGGATGGCAACAGCGCCCAGCAAAGAGTAGGCAACTAAGAACCAAGAATCCAACAGCACACTCAGCCTGTAGGGTTGTCAGAAAGCTTATTTTAGGATGGTGTGCTGCTATGGTTCTTAGAGAACAGGAATTTTTTTCTAGTGAAAACAGGTTGAAAGTATTCCACAGACAGTAGTGTGAAAGAATACGTTCAAAAAAACTGCATTTAATGAATATGCAAGAGGTTGTGCTGACACATTTAACTCTGGCTGATTTTGCAGTCTCTATATATCCTGAAGATCGCTTTTATATGGAATATATGTCTATGTGTGTGTATATATATATATATTATATATATGTACACACACACATGTAGTATTTAATATAATCTAACTCTTTTTCTATATCAAGGGCCATGAAAAAATCTTGGCGTCTTGTGATGACAAATAACAAAAAAACTCTCAGAACTAATGCATTTAAATTGACTGATATAAAATGGAGGCTTTTTTTTTTTAAAGGCTCTGAACATTTTCAGCAGTGCAGACACTCTAATTCATGTTCTGTGCTTAACTAATGGCAGCTGTATTCTCCAAAATTGTACATTTGGTCCTGTCTTCCCACATGCTCTTAACAGCTAACCAACAAAAGCTCTTAGGACTTAAAAAAAAGCCCTTCTGAGCTCAGGGAAATAAAAAGGTTTTTACACTGTTACTGGTTGCAGGCCTTTTATAAATCAATTTCTCAAAGCAAAGAAGCAAATCTAAATTTTTAATTCTAACTATGCATGTGATAATTATTAATTAACTGATGGACAGCAGTTGAGTGTTCATGATGTACTGAATATTAGTTCTGCAGATGTCTCATTTACATTGCTTTCAACATTCAGATATCAAAATAAGTCATTAAAACAACCATTTTTAATTAATGATAGATGATTTTATAGGAGCCTTAATTTTCTAGAGAACTGATACTTAACATTAGTGATGCTAACGGGCAGACTAGTCAGAAGTTTCAGGGATCACAATTTTATTTATACAATTAAGTTTTCAGTAGCTGAGTTTGAAAATACTGTGTAACATTTTTTTGGAGTGACATGTCTAGGTGAGCATACTCAAGACAGATATTTCTAAAAAATGTTAACAACTGGGAGAAATGCCCATACCAAAGGGAGAGGAAGAAATCCCCATTTTTTCCAAAGGCAGCAATTAGTAGGAATTATATTTATTCCAGTACTTGCTATGTAAGGACATGTATTGGCACATGTTGTTTTACTCTCGTGGTACTAAAAAAATCCAAGAAACTAGCTTGCAGTGCAAACAGAAAAACTATGTCAATAACTAAAAAAACTAACCAAAAAAATTCCCCACCAAAGAAAAACAAATGAACCAATGCATTTGGCTGTCTGTAATTTAGATTTACAAGAGATTTCCCTCCACATCAATGAATAGTCTCCAGCTGTGGAGCAACCCTTTGTCACTGTGTGACCCTTTGTGCCAGAAAAAGACAGTCACTGTCTCATAGGCAGATTCTGTGTTCAGTGTGGCTGTCTCATCCTTCCTTGATGTTCACAGGAGTTCTGTTACTGTGCAGAGCATGTAGAGTGGTTTTAATGCTTTTATCACTTGGACCATCCACGAAAATGTTAAATGAGACTGACCAGTCTTTGACCACCACTCTGCATTTGGTTTTAGAGGAGTTTGAGGGTTGTCCCTGCACCAGGGCCATCAGTTGCCTGATGCTTTTGGATAGTCCAAATACTACACTGTGGTTATCCTTGGGGCACTGGAACACCTCTTCATTGTTTACAGCTGAACTGTTATTGTTTTCCTCATTGTTAACCACTTGGTCTTTTGGCTGAGGGAAAACTTTGATAGACAGTCTATGGTCAGGATTAGGATCTGTGCTGCCAAATGCAGAGGATATGATCTTTTTGTTGTGTAAGAGCACTAAGAGAAGCATCAGCCTAACATCACTTGGGGCAACAAAGTATAGTACGGACGACTTTGTCATCAAAGGGCTTTCATGTGTCAGCTGTTCACCCAGAAAGATTTTGGGGACTGGAAAAAATATCAAGTGTATGCAAACTCCAGACATTTGGTAGCCTTGGTCACAGTTTAGTGTGTCCTGACTTAACCCCAAATTCTAGAGTAGTGCCACTCTTGTGGCAAGCAGTCAGTCGCTCTAGAAAAGATGTCTCTGAGTCTCATAAATGTCCTCCCCACTTTGAACTGCAGCTGTCGTCCAGCACCTTGACCCCATATGCTGGAGGTGTTGTAGAGAGGGGAAAAAACTCTGCATACATAAGGGCATGATGCAGAACTAACTGCAGTTTTAACTCTTTTTGAGCCTTATCGACTGGGAGACTGAAATGTTAATGACTCAAACAATCGGCCTTTGCAAAAGCAATGGGGTGTTTTGGTGAGGCCAGATTTGCATGCCCAACAAAAGTGGGGAGAAGAGGTTTTTGTGTATGGTGGTGAAATCTCTGGTCTGCACAAGACACAGGGAGTGAGCGCTCTTCACCAGAAGATCGTCACGAAAACCAGCCTTTGTTCAGTAACAAGCTGGGATTTGAACCGCGTAAGGGAGAGGGCTAATAAGAAAGAGATGCTACTAGGTGGGATAATGCTTTTTACCAAGCCAATTTCCTCCCTTACACAACTGTCTCAGTTGTAAAACTTCCCCTCCCCTCCATGGAAGTACCAAGACATTCTCATGTAGGCCTGAAGGTATTCATCCCTTCTGATGGGGCATAACTGGCTCAACTATGCTGGCTGGTGTGAGAGACAGCTGTCATGTCATAGGTGTCATGTACCATCAAAGGCCCCCAAAGTGCCCTCAGACACAACTTCTGAGGCCTTGCATCTCAGAGGATTGTGGATCCACAGTGCTGCAACAGATCTACAGTTACATCAGGCAGTGTAAAACTGCCCCCTCAGGAGGTACCTGGGCACTCCCACATAAACCTGAATTTATATTAACCCATTGAAATCTGTGTTTCATGGGCCTCCCCTACCCCAATGGACCAAGATTGTAATGACCACTTCAACGAGCAAACATCGAAATTGAAATGATCAAGTCTTGTTTCTGGATCCACAGGTGGTGATATCTTCCCCTCCACAATCTACTCCTATCCTTTCTTTTTCTTTCTTTTCTTTATATATTCTCTTAAGTGATATATTTACACTTCTATATTGTTATATTACTATAGAGAAAAATAACCAAAATGGCTACATATCTCCCTTCTATTGCAACCAAATTGTTCTAAAATAAACCCTACACATATATGTATTTAAACACTGATCATTCACTGTTATTTCACTCTAATCTATCCCAAGGGAATCTATTAAAAAGAACTTCAGTTATCCTCACCTTCAGGGACAGGTCGTAACACCGAGTCTGTAATTTTAACAACTAAATATTGAAAGTGCAGTTCCCTTTCCCCACCTGTGTCATTATTCTAGCATGATGCCAATGAAAGGCTTCTGTCTGCTGAAATCAGGACTTGCATTTAAAAACAGCAGCCAGTGATGAATCTAACATATGTTTTTTATCTGCAAGAATTTACTAGGACTGAACTGGTAAAGAGGGACATGGGACTAAACAAGGTAAGAGGGGAAATAGATAGAAAATAATAGCAGGGAGCTAGGAAAAAGCAAAAGGACAAAATAAACTTGGGAGGAGGAAAGATGATGGAAACAAAAGAAATATTGCTGAAACAGGAGGGTGCTTCGAAAGTGAACTCATAGATATGGTAGCACACTGGGGAAAGAAGATGTACAGAAAAGGAGGGAAATTAATAATGTGTTGCTCCATTGAACTTCAATTCTGAAGTGGATGCTGGAATTATTACTGCAATTTTAAAGTTTTCCAACTGAATTGGAATCAAGTTCTCACTTCACCCTTCACATCCTATTAGGCAGTTCTTAGATCATAGCTTATTTATAGGTGCTTATAATCTCCCATCCTGGATTTGCTGCAGCTTTACCTCCTTGGGCCTTGTCTTCCCTCTGGCACAGAGTAAATGCAGCCAGCTCTGCATCCATCTGCAGCTGGCCTCCCTTTTCATCCTATTACTAGGAGTTTTTCCTTATAGAACCTTTCAAACAATTTCTGTGTTTACCTTACATCTTTCTGCATTATCCCATTCATAGCATGTACAATGAATGCTTCCATGTACAATGCCTGTCACATTTTATACCATTATGCTGCTCTCTATAACTTGACTCTCAATTAAGTCCAGAAGATGACATAATCAAAGAGTGGTTCATGAACCAGAAGCTACTACTTAACAGAAGTAAATTTTCCTGCCAAGTTCAGGGACCAAGATGCAGCCTATTGTAAACTGCATCCTTTCAATTACTGTTCATGAATTTTATGCTTTTCTTGACAAGTTTTGCATCCTCTCCACTGGTTGGAAAATACATACTACATAAGTATTATGATCTAGTTCTTTAAATTATTAGAAATGTCTCTGCCTGAACTGAAGTGCAAACAAGACCATATGCCAAAGTCAATAGTACAGATTTTATTTAAAAGTAAATATGAGAGAGAGAGAGACAGAGAGAGAAAGAAAGAAAAAAAGAGGTGGCAGGACAGAAAGAAAGTGACAGAGATAGATTAAGTAGAAAATATCACCACTCCATGGATCCAAACAATGTCCCATTGATCCTCTCCATTCAGTCTTCTTGGTGGTGAGGGTCCTTCCCCAAAAACATAGAGTCTGGTGGATTAATACACATTTAAGCCAGAAAATGCCCAGGTACTACCCCAGAGAGGGGCAGGCAATTTTGACACTTTCTCTGGTAACAGACTTTGGATCTGTTGAATCTCTTTGCATCACGTGCAGTGCTCTGGTGCAAGGCCTCAGGAATAAGTCTGGGGAGCATTTTTGGGGGGTCTTTGATGGGTTATGACACCCCCTCAGCTGTTCTTCACATGAATGCCCTGTAGATATGGCCTTTCAGGGGTAGGGGGTTTTACAACTGAGCCTGTTTGTGTAAGGGAGGATGGGTGTTCAGTGTCTGTGACCTGAGGTTATGCCACACACCCAAAACTCTCCTCCTCTCACTTTGGTTGGGGGGGGTGCAAACCTGCCCTCAACAGAGAGCCTGAGGGCTATGGCTTCCTCCACCCCATGGAACGAAGACAGGGATGGTTTTCAGGACAGCTGCTGGGTTTGGCTTTCTTGTGGATGCATTCTTCTCCCTCAGCCTTGTTTTTCCTAGACCTGAAATGATTGAATAACACTGTCACCTCTATCTTATCTCAAGTTCCCTTCGGTGGCTTAACTCACCATTCAGAGTTCCCCTTAGGAGGCATCTTCAGGGAGGGGAGGGCTTTGGTGATCACACCTTCTTTATACAGTTTTGTCTTCATGGACAAAAGTCCCTCATAACAATGTTTAAGCCATGACATAACATTTCAGTCTCTGACAATTGGCAACAGAAAACCATTTCAGAAAGTGAAGACAGTCTTCATGAGTAAAGGTTATAATAAGCAAGCCTTGACTTGCAGCCTGGCTTGCTAAGTTTTGCTTTAGGCTACTGGGTTTTCTGAATCTCTCCATGGAAAGTAAATTGAAAAGTAGCACAAAGGTCATCTGATTTGCAACTGAATGAGTTTTGAGACTGTTAAAAGACAGCTTGACTGCCCATCTCTTATCCACCTCTTGCCCACCTTCAGCTCTTCCACTGACTTTACCCCTCCCTCCAGCACCAAGGGATTTAAATTTTTGTGCTTTCAATTATTTCATAGCTTGAGGTAAAGGAAATGCTTTGCTGCCTTCATCTACATGAACTGTATAATGCAGGGAATTAGCAAGAGGTGTTGACATTGACACCCTCTCTAATACTAGAAGGACAGTCAGTGCTCCAATTCACCATTTATATAATTAGAAGATTTCTGAATCCCGGTTGCTTTGGTGAACCAAAAGCAGTCATCGCCAGAAACAATTTACCCTACCAGCCCTTCATCTGTTCACAGAGCAAAGGGCAGGTCCTGTCTCACATTCCTCACCAAGAGAGGAAGAGCTGACCACACTCAGTGAGAAATTTAATTACAGTCATCACAGCAAAAGCCCTGCTGTAATTTCATTTGTTTCTTATTGCATTCTTAAAATTATTCTGTTGTTGCTCGAAAGGTATTGTTTGGCTTCAGTGATCTAGCAGTCCAAGATATGTGAAGTAGGAATTTAAAATGCAATAATCAGATTAAGCATGTGAAATATGATCAATATATGATTTCAGCTTTCACTGGACTGTTAAGCACCTGCATGACCATGCTGCCTAGTGATCCCACAGCTGACAGCTGTGGTCACCCATGAGACCTCTGACTGGAAGGCCACATGAGAGCTGCTCCCAACTCACCAATACTTACCTTTTTGTCAATATTAAATGGAATGAATGCAGGTTGTGCCACCTGATAACCTTCTTATGCCTTCTCTATGCAGTCAGCAGCTTTGGAGAGCCATCCCTGGGTGGAACTCCACTGGGTAATGAGGCATTGCCAGACACTGCTGTAACCATGCACTTGACCACTCATACCTCTACATCAGGAGCAACCATCATGATGTATTCACTTTTTTGGTTTGTTTATTTCTGAGTGCACAAACAGCAGAACCAAATGCATACCATTAGACTCATAAAGAATGTTTTCCCCTCTGCATACAAATTTCAGTGCCTGTATCTTCTTTAGCTATTGCCAGAACTTTTGGGCACTTAGCTCCATGAGTTGACAGGCACTGAAGTGATTTAATTTTGGAACAGTCCTAACGTATTTTACAGTTCTGAAAACACTGTTTAAGAAATATTTGGCCAAAACTTCCAGTCAAGGATGGACGCATCTGTTCTTTGCAGTTTTAAAATAGGAAAACCAAAATGCACTAGTGAGATCACTTGTCCTGCCACATCTAACACAGCCCACAATGTGCACAAAACCTCAAGAGGAGGAAAGCATCCTCTCCTTCCGCCAGGAACTGACTCCCATGTAAAACCAAAGAGCAGATATTTTCAATACAGCAGAAGAGTTGCTCCATGGCAAATCTGCTACAGAGCAGCAAAAGAAAAACCTCTGCCTTTTACATCACAGAGAAGATCTATCTGTCCCTCTTGGATGAATAGCCCTATCCACAGGGACCACTGCTTTTTACTTTTCTTTTTGAGGTACCTGTACCCCAAAGGCAAAAATCTCATTATCCTTCTCTGTCCATCTTGGCCTGGAAATATTTTTAAATGCTCCCTGTGGAAATCAGGTCTGTGTTTTCCAGAACATATGCTTACTGTGTCCTGTTACTCTTTCAGATCATAACAGGTCCAAATGCTGTGTTCCTTCCCATCCTCTGGGTTTGCATGCTTTCTCTGACAGAGACTGCTGTGTAGCTGTGCCAGCTGGGTGCTACAGACCCTGCAGACGTGATGTGACACATCTTCTCTGATTATGGGCAGTTTAACAGCAATGGACAAAAATCAGGCACAGAAACTTAGTGCCGATGTTCATATTTTTTGTGTCCCATTTTTCATTTCTTCATCCCGTCATTTTGAGCATGTACTTACAGCTACAAAGTCTCCCAGGAAAAAAAAAAATTCACTCTCCTCTGCCTCCAAATACGTTGGAAAAGAGGACAGACTCTACATTAGAAGTCGGGCTCCTGCCAGGTCACTACTCACATTCCTTTGTCGAGACTGTGCTAATTTTTCTGCAGGCCTTGATCCAGGAGAATTGCCTGGAAAAGATCTCTGGCCCCAGGTTGCAACACCTGGTTTCCTGGCAGATACAGCTGTCTCCCTGAAGGCACAATGCTAATGGTACCAACCCTACTGTCTGTCTGTCTGTCTGTCTATCTATCTTAATTCTTGACCTACACCGAGAGATGTGGTTAGAGAACCCATGGCTCCTTCATGAGTCCTTGGAAGGCAAAATGGGCATTTGTGACTGGTGAAGTGGTGGTGTGTTCTGATTATAGTACCTCTACTTAATGCCACATTTACCCACAATGGAAAAAAATGTGATCTAGTCTGGAGTCTTTTAACTACTACAGACTGTTAACCACAGCCTGCAACTAACCAGGCTTGAAATTTGCCTATTTACATGGCTGACAGATGAGGAGTAGATTTGCAGTATAGGTCTGAGGAGCTGCAAGTGTGACTAGTTGAGCGTAGAACCCCTTCACACTGCTTGCTTTACTGCTGGGTGAAGGGAGAACAGCAAAAATGCATATGTGGTGGAGACTGGGAGAGGGGGTAGTCCTTTGGAGAGTCTTCATAATCCCAGGCACTTAGCTCTGGCCACTGACTGTCAATACATCCTCCATAAGCAAGTGTGTGCAGAGCATGTCCTCTCTCTAATGATGGCATTTTCTGCCTTTCAGCCTTGCAAGCATACCTGCATCAGCTCACTTGCAGAGTAATGCCATAATGCTGGCTAGGCCAGGCAGCTGAGCTTTGACTTATCCTGGACTGGAGGAAAAGTGTCACTGCCATGGCCACAGACTGGACTTGGGAAGAAACTTCTTCTGTGCCTTGGAAACTGATACAGACAGGTTAGATGATCTGATTTGGTCATAGACACTTAGTAAGGATGAGGACCAGCTTAGTAGCAAGGTAAGCTGGTGAGCTACTCAAGATTGAAGATTTGTTTCAGGAAAACAAGGATGTTTCACTTTGTGGTTTTTTTTTTTCTAAGTGAAATAGTGTCCTGATCTGTATGTACCAGGCCTGGGACAGATTTGTGAAACCAAATCATTACTTGTGGGGAAACAACACTCATCCTCACCACATTTGCTGCTGTTACAACACAAGTGAGTAGGTGAGAGTTGCTCACCTCAGCACTGCATGTCACAGCACAGGGCACAGTTATGGTGCCTTGTATTTGGTGGCACAGAGCAAGGAGGGGGCAGAGCACATGGCCAAGCTGGAATCCCAGCTGGAATCTTGTCAGCTGTAACCACTTGTGGTTGCTTTGGAACCATCTGCCTGCCTCCAAACTTTTCTTTGCAGACATAACACGTAGGTGATGTGGATGATTGTGGACTAGAACTCCTGTGAGAAATTCAATCCAACAGTATAAACACATCCTCTCATTGCTGCTGACAGTGTTAAAAGAACCAAAGTAATATTTTTTTCAGAAGTCAGGCTATAGATATCTGTGGTTAGGAACTTAGCTACAAAGCACTGGAACATTACTAACAAGATAATATGAAAAAGCTATGCAATTCTGTTATATGGGTTTCATGCCTTAAAGAACACAAGTTTTCTCCCTCTCTTGGATGAAGTTTTGTAAGCAGAAGGTTTGCTGAAAGAAATCCCAAATACTTTTCCATCAATAATGCATGGTGTCAGTGTATATGTTCCTGTCTGAAACAGAAAATGGAAAGCAAGGCAGCTGTGATGAGGTTATTAGTAAATTAATATTTTCCTATTGGAATGTCTAGAGGTAGATGAGATGTATTGTTAACTCTCAATTTCCCCCAGGGAATGGAAGCTGAGTCAGTTCACCACACATTGTCTCTGCTGGTATTTCTTCCTCAGGGAAGGACTCCTCACTTTCTCTGTGCCAATGTGGGGCCACTCCCATGGCAGACAGTCCTCCATGAACTTCTCCAAAGTGGTTCCTTCCCACAACCTCTGGTGTGGGTCCCTTCCATGGAGTGCAGTTCTTCAGGAACAGGCTGCTCCAGTGTGGGCTCCCCCCAAGGACACGAGTCCTGTCAGAAGGCTGTTCTGGCATAAGTGTCTGACAGGGTCACAGTCTCCTTCAGGCTCCATCCAGAGCTGCACAGGCCTTTTCCCCTTCTTAAATCCATTACCCCGGGTGCTGCCACTGCCACTGACGGGCTCGGCCTTGGCCAGTTGCAAGTCCATCTTGGAGCTGCTTGCCATTGGCTCCATTGGATGTAGAGGAAGTTTCTAACAGCTTCTTATAGAAGCATACCCTATAGCCTTCCTACTTCCAAAATCTTGCCATGGAAACCTAATATAAAGACTTACAAAAACTATTCAGTTATCTTGAAACTTAACATTTCGCAATGCTGCTTAACATTCAGCTACGGTAAGTGAAAGCCAGCACTGGTCACTGTGCTGTACTTCTTATTAAAGTTAACAGAGCAGGACATAGAAAGATTTATGGTTACTAGCAGAGAGGGAGGGAATGTTTCCAGCAAGAGGGGAAAGAAAATCATTCACAGTGCAAATGTTACTTTCATTGAGTTTGTATACACTGTAATTTATCCATGGCCCCAAACTCAAAATACATGATTCTGAATAAGAGGAAGTGTTTCATTTGAATGAAACACAATGAAATATACTTTCATGTAGTCAAATGAACAACACTCATTACAAATGAAGTTTTATACAATTGTCTCAAGATTGAAGACTTATCCATAGATTTAAACACGAAAAGACATAAACTGCCTAAATTGTACAGATTAATTTCACTGTACATGGTGAAGTTCCTTAATGCTCACATCTGTATGTGGGAAATCCTTTGTTCCTATTAAATCCCTATGTGTGCTGTTGCACTCTTTTGACTGTTATATGATAGTCTGCTCAGTTTTGGCACAAAGCACAAGGATATACAGGCTTATTTAATAATATTTCTTCAAGACTTTATCAAAAAGGCATATGCACATTTATGTACACAGCATCTTCTAAGTTCCCCAGCATAACTGTGTATTGGGGTGTTACAGAAGAAAGTGTTTTGCATAATGACATTAGATACACAAGGACAATTTTGGGGTGTGTGAGCTGGAGGCAGCAAGTTGATGATGAGTCCAGACACTTCTTAGCTGGAATCTCTCCTGATTCTTCACTTTTCTGTGCCAACACAAGCTTTTAAATACCTCTCCTTTAAAAACAGTGAGGACTGGTATATGCCTTCTACACTGAAGCAAAGATAAATAAAGTTTAGTAAGATATAAGCTTTCTTTTTAGAGCTCCACCTATTTATTTGCTTTTTTTATTTATTTTATTTTATTTTATTTTATTTTATTTTATTTTATTTTATTTTATTTTATTTTATTTTATTTTATTTTATTTTATTTTATTTTTTTATTATTTTATTTTGCTTTTAAATCTGAAGAAGCATTGAAAGAAATCTGCTGTAGAAAGGCAGATTATTTCTTGTGTTTATGCTTTTCAATACTAGTAGCAAGAAAGAACCTCTGAGAATGGTGACAGTGAGACTCCGGGATAAGGCTGAAGAAGAAATAAGTTGTGTAATGTTTCAGAACAGGCTTGGAAAGATTCTTTTAGTAACTTTCCTACTATGCTTAAAGCTTTATCTTGTTGTTTTTTGACTCAGGTGTATAGCCAGTATTCAGAGCTGTGCTCAATTAGTCTGCTGGTAAGGGAAATTGATTTTACAATAAGGTCTTTCTGTAGAGAAATTCAGTTTATTTACAATAGAATCTACACAGTGTCCTGCTTCCTTAGTAAGTGGACTTACTAAGACCAAATATCCAGTTCACTTCCTCATGTTTTCCAAGCTGTCCTTTCCAGTGACCTTGGAAGCTCAGCATTCTCCTTCCCCACACAACTGCAGACATGGTTCTTTGGGGTGATGGCTCTGCCCTCCTGGTCTTCTTCCCTATGGCCTTGGATAAAAGATGCACATATCTGCTGTCAGTCCATCTGCTGGTCCATGAGGCTTAGCTGTGCTCTGGCCCTGCCATCCTGCCATCTGGCCCTGTGAATATTTGTTTCATTTTGTGCGTATTATGGCTATCACCTGCAGAAACTATAAGAAAAGTACAATACTGCCTGTTCCAGTTGATGTGTTTATGGAATTTCTTCATATATGTTCATGCTCACATTACACAAGGCATCCCCTTAAATGAATAGGGAGATCCTTTTCACATGTGAATTTAGAAAGGAATATGAATACCAAGTTTGTGAAGAAATATGCATGTCCCAGTGTCACAGATGGAGTTTTGGTATGGACCATCACTGCTTACAGTTCTGAGTTTCCCAGCACTCAAAATATACCAATAGGGGCTATTTAATTTTATGTAAAAGTTTTATAGATCCAGATTTTTAGAAAACAAAATTGGACCATTTAAAAGAAAATATTGAAGAGTTTAAAGCAAGGGTGAATGTGAAATTTCCTAAGGAAGCAAAGAGAATTCTGCTGGTCTATGGTAAAACTTCAACAAGAGAATTGAAGTAAATATCTTGTTTGGTATTGCTTAGTATCAATGACCTATAGTTACAAAATTTTTTTTTTATTATTTTTAAGCATTAGAATCTAACATTTTACTGTTTATAGAAGAAAATTAAAGAATTTAAGTTAAAATCCTAACTGTGGTGTTACTTTGATACTGTTCTGAGTCTGTTGACATTACATGCATTTATAATGAATAGAATTTTTTGTAATTTGAACCGCTATCCAAAGAAACCCAGACCTTATTTCACAATTAAAATATCAATATTTAGTAGTAGTGAAAAGACTGAGTTATAGCTTTGATACTGAAATTATTTGTTATTCTAATATAGTAACTAAGATTTAACTGTAGCTTCCAGTTTTAAAAATGCTGACTTTTAAAATACAGTGCATGGCTGGAGGGGAGGAAACAACCTCAACAGATCCTTTGCATTGAAAATTTTCATGGTGTGACTTTCCCTAGCTTTCCTACAGGTAAGGACACTGTTGTTGTTTACATAATGCTTAACTTGGTCTTTTCCTGCAGGAAGTGCATGACACACGAGGTGAATGTTTTCATAATTGTAACAACAAATATGATGGAGTTTAATTTTCTTGCATTTGTAACGGGACTTTTTTGATTGTTCAGCCTTGAATTCTTTTATAAAACGTTGCCTGATACACTGGAAAACGTCACATCTGTTTTCTTTGTTTTCTGATCAAGTAAGAAGAGTATTTGAGGAAATGCTGCATCAGATGTATAATCAGCACTCTTCAAATAAAATAGCAGATGACTGATCTGTTATTTAGGTATTCCCTAGAGTTAGCAATATAATCTCTAAGTACACTATTTAAACTCAATATTAATTAGAAAGATGTAATTTCAGACATTGACATTTGGATACCATAAGACTCTACTTAAATTAAGAAATGAGCATTTAATTCTATTTTTCTATTTCCATAATTTTGTATCATCTGATTACTGAAATTCTATCTTCTGTATTCTGCCAGTGACCACAGCATTTTGTATTTGTTGTTTTGTTTTATTTTTTTCCTTAAGAATTATGACAGTAGACCAAATGGTAAGCAGGTTATGTAACAGATGTTTTACATTATTCAATTTATCGGTTTTTGATGATGTTTTGTTTCAAACAGTATTTTTCTGATTAAGACACACAGTGTGATCCCTTTGTATCCTCACAGCAGTTAACTTGACTTCTTTAATTTGTCAATAATAACTCTTAAAGAACTGTTTGCTGAGCAAGCTAAATAAATGTAGATAGTATTCCACCTCTGGTAAAACTCAGAGGTCCTGCACGATAATCAGTACAAGCTACTCTTCTGAATTAAAAATGCACAAAGAAGAAGATTCTTAGAAATTAAACTACTTTGGACAGGATGAAATATAGGTCAGATAGCCCAGCAGATGAAAGACTGGCAGTGTAATGCCATGAACATGAAATGTCATTTTAAGTTCCCTTACCCCTGCAGCTCCTCATTGCTAGCACTGCTCAGACCTTGGTATAAGAGCCATAAGGACAGACTGGTGAGGAGATGTATGGACATGGACTTAGACCTTCATCCTGGCAGTCTCTCTACATTGGCATCATTACAGAGCTCATTTCAGTGGCCAAATCTGTGTGGTAGCCACAGAACATATGTGCCTGATTCCAGATATACTTCACCTCCTGCATCCACATCCACTGCCGTTTTCTCATACTTACACAGGAGTAACCTAGCAGGGTCTTTCCATTTCAAATCTGGAGAAAAGTGCACCACCCAGCACACCTTCACTTCTACCCCAAGGGAGCAGCTGAGTGGCAGATAGATGGCAGTCATCACCCTAATGCCATGCAAAATACTCAGAGACCACAGCAATAAACACGGTGGAAAAACTTTATGTTGAATAAAAGAGTATAAAATATTGTCTGCCTCCCACAGGAGTTCATGGGTCTTTTGTTCTTGACTTCAAATTCATGTAGAATTCCACCATGCTTTTTGAAGTTAACTGGAAAGTTTTCTTGAAAATTTCTGTCAAAATTTTCAATTTTTTTTTTTTAATGAAGGCTGTCTCTGTATTTAACTGGGCCCAGCTTGTTAGACTATGGTGCTAATAACAGCAAGGTTTTAGGTTCAATATCCATACAAGCTATTTATTTAAGAATTGGACTTGATCCTCATAGGTCCCTTCCAAGTCAGAATTTTCCATGAATCTGTGATCTCAAACTCATATTGCTATGAGCTTGCTATGGACTATGGAATTTCTCCTCTTTCCACAACTGGTCAAGTCCCATCAGATTTTATAGTTGCGTCTAATAATTTAGTGAAATTCTGACCTAAAACATTAAGGTGCCATATGCCTTTACATCTGCATCCTTTGCATTGTTATTAATCTTCACTAGTGTAGATACTTATAGATGTTCTTATTTATGATCTTAATTAAATATATGATAGTTCAAGGTATGTTTAGCAAATTGTAATTATTACTATTTCTTTATATATAACCAAAAAAATTAATCAGTCTATCTTTTCATTTCCAATCACTTAGATATAATTCTGGCTCTCCTTTAACTTACAAAACATAATTACAAGTCATGCAGTAATTTTATTAGTGAATACCCTGAAGACTACAGGATGCATATCTTCTAGACTGGCTCATCCTTATATATTCTGTTTCTTCATGTATTCCCTTACCTGCCAAATCACCAGATATAGTGGCATAATCTTCATTACTTAATTATAATTATTAGTCAAGGGGTTTCTACCCCAGACATGCAGGTTTTGAGCAGTCTGCTGAACAGATTAGAAAAAGGTTTAAAAAATAAACCATTTGATAATGGGACAATTATCTGCTAGCCACCTAAGTAGAACAGTAGGAGAATAAATACTCCTTTAATATATGGAGAGTCCTATATATTGAGCAAGTGCAAATACAGAATAAAGGCTGTTTGTGCACCCATTGCTAAAATTTATTCCCTTTTGAATGCACTGCAGTTTAAAGTATTTTTTCATGCAACATATGAATTATGCATGTATATATATATACATATATCAAAAATGTTTGTATATTCCTTATGTGGGTTAAGGCATTTCTTGGAGGAATTAAAATAAGAAAGGAGGGCCGCTTGATATTCCAGTGAAATCTAATTTGAAAGCAATTTGCAACTATAAATTTCACTCAAGAGATTTCCAGGTGTTTGGTGTACAACTACACATAGGAAGAATTTCCCAAGAAATGAACCTTAATGACTGCAGTAAAATGGATCAGAGGCTTTACCTTTGCATCTCTACTCTCTGTGAATTTCTGCTTCATGGATCTGTCTTTTGCTTTTGTACTGTTCTTGTTTTTTTAAAAGAAGGCAGATGAATAGGCTTTTTACTAATGAGTTATACTAAGAGGCTGCTGGATTTCGAGATATACATGTCATGAATTATAGTTATATTTTACAAAGACAGTTTTGCAATTCAGTTTCCTAAACACATTGTAGCATTCTTAAAATCAGAATCCTGGAACTATGGGCACTGTACATTTTTGCAGTGAGACATCCACCATCAAAATCTTCAGAGTTTAAAGAAAATGGTGGGTAAAAGGATATTACTTCATTCTTTACCTTGGAAACTCAGACTCAGAAAAATCCTGTTTTTTACAAGGTCAGTGAGGATAACTGGAGCAGGGTCAAGAAGTTATCTCTTGATTTAGTGCCAGTTTGTGCCAGCTTCCATGGATGTCCTGTCAGTAGCACTCCAATCTTCTATTACTCTTGGCCTTCTGTCGCTAGAGGACACGAAGTACAGAGCAAAGGTTCCAAGAAATCACAGCCACACAGAGGTTTCTTCATAAGGTGAAGAAAGCCTTTATTCCAGGGTCTTACAACCCTTTTTATAAGCTGTTCCAATCAGGTCACCCTGATTGGTAGAAGGAACAACACCTCCCTCATTCCATTGGTGGGACAAGAGAGAAAACACTCTCAGAACATCTGTGTCTTGTTTTGGGAAAGTAAAACTTTATTTACACAAACAATCCTTGAGAGTGAACAGTTCCCAAAAGACTTTCCCTTGGGAACAATAAGCCCCTGAGAGCTTGAAATTCTCTCAGGTTCAGAAATCATGTCCACAGCCTTCCTTTTTTTCTTTTCTGGCAAAACCTAAATGTTACAAGTTGTCACAGAGCCAAGTAGATTTTACAGGTAGGCTGGATTATACTATGCAGAACTGTCTGTACTGAAAGGGAAAGTTTAGTCTAGGTCTGGTAAATGGGCAGCTGAAGAAGTCAGCAAACTGAAATATGAAAGTTGCACTTCTCTGCACTACTAGTTAGAAGAGCATGAAATGAGTAACTAAGAGTCAACAGAAAATTTGCAGAAATATGTGGAATTTACAGTGACTTTTCCTTTGTCAAGAACACTTCAATCCTTAGAGCAACAAGCACTGTGTATGTACTGGGACTGGTCAGGAAAAGCCAGAATGTTGCCTGCACACAACCCAACAGCAGCTGAATGGGAGGTTGTCTTGATAGGTTACTTGATGGCTCAGAATGCTGGGATGAAGTTTTATAGTTCTGTCCCTCTTTTCATCAGATTTTATCTCCTCCTACAGAAAGAAATTGCCAGGATTTGTTCTTGCACTTTATGTCCACATTCAGGCTAGGAAGTTGAAGTCTTCCAAGGAAGCAACCGGGGGTGTTTTATCTTCTCCTTAGTATCTACAGCAGGTTCTCTAGAAAGTTGTATCTGTTCTGGGCACTTAGAGATTAACAGCATGGCCAGAGTGTATACTGTCTCTGGACACACAGATTATGTGTGAGGAAATATGGCTTCCCCTCAATTTTTATCCTTCCAGCTCTAGATCTGTGATGAATAAGGAGGGGGAAGAGGGCTCACAGGGGGAGTGAAATGAGAGATAGGTGCAGCAGTGTCAGCAAGCTGGCTTTCTGTAACACAGTCCAGCCATCAGGGACACTGATAGAGGGTTTAGTGCTACAGAGGCTGTGTCTTTACCCTTTGGCACTGGACAGTCATGAATAAACAAGTAACTGTGAAAAACAACAAAATATCTTTCTGAATTTTAACAGCCTCACATGCTAGTTCTCATGAAAATAATCTCTGCTGCCATCATTTCCAGGAGTTCCAGATACCTCCTGCAATACAATTATGCGGGCTCAGTAGTAAACTATTCTGCACATTTGGAGCTAAAGGACAAAGTAATAAATGACTTCAGTGAACTACATTGATATTGCATCAAATTGCATCTGAATCCACTACTACTGGGTTTTCTGGTTTTGAAAATCTGCCCTTCAGGATCTCACTGTCCTCTTGTTTGTCTGCTTACATCCTCCTTGATACTGCAATACCAGTGTGAGTCCAAGGTAGATTAGGAACAGCTGTTCTGTAGCAAACAAACAAAACCCTTTGTCTATTAGCCACTATCACTTTTTGACAGGGGGGGAAAAAAGCCAGATGTCTGTTTGCAGACAAGTGAAACTTCATCAAATGCTTGAACTTTTCACAAACAGAAAATCTGAAGCTTGTTCCAAGAGTGATTTCAGGCAAATCCGATGCTAGTGGAGTTTCATTCACTTTGAGGAACATTGCTAATTCCTGCAATTCATGATAGAGCCTCTAACTCAAAAGTCTCTGAATATTGCCATGAAAATATTTCAGTGTTATTGTGGTACTTCTCACTTGGACTGTGAAAAAGACTTCTACAAGCCTAACGGAATATATGAAAAAAATCATATCAATAAATAAGCAGCATAACATAGCAGGAGTAAAAGCTTAAAAGGGAAAAATGAAGTGCTGAATTGGCTGGCTCAGTGAAGAACTAAAATGTAAAACAACCGAGTCTAGTCCTAAACGTATTTTTGGTATATTGAAGTGCTCCTCAAAATGATCATTCTAATTGTAACCCACTGATATCTGTAGCTACAGGGAATATGAGGGCATCTCATCTGCTGTGAATCTCCCACTGTCATTCATGGGAGACGCATTGAAGATGCAAATGGGATTTAGAAAGTCAGGCTTTAATTTATTCCTGTAGCTCTAATGACTAGATGTAAAATGTACTATTGATATGTTCTCTGAAGAATAGTTGACAGAATGTGAATGTCATGATCTTAATCTTCTTTTCACGTTTTCTTGTATTTTAGTTAAAAGATGGGGAAATGCTAAAACAAAAATGTAATACATCTTTGTTCACTACAGGATATCACCTTTCACAAGGTCCAATTAAAATACTGAATTATTAAATTTAGGACATTTTATTTTAATTTATATTACGTGAATATACTAAGGTACATCTTCAGGAATGCACACAAGGTCTTGAAATGTATTGCTCTGTCTTATGAGCAGTTTAATACAGATTTGCTTTTATAAATAACGAAAAGTTTGTGTATAGGATTTCAAATCAAGGTGGTTTTGTCAGATTAGACTAGAATGGTCTATAAAATAACTTCGTAAATGGAAACAAACTACAAAATTAAGTTTGCTTTGAGTTCTAATTTACATGCATATTTTGTTCATACTTCAGAACTAAAAAGTTCATGTTCATCTTGGAGACATCCAGAGCTCTGCAAAACCCTGGCACTCTTAACATATTAGCACATGGTTTATGTCTTAGCTTTATTGCATTGCCAAGTTCTATGTTCAAGTCATATGCAAAGTCTTTTTGAGAGCCTTACAATTTTTTAATAACCATATAATTTGGGGCAAGTTCTCATTCATGAGAACTAGAATGACTCCTAGGATTTTTTGAAATAGGAACTATTAAGATTAAAGTACCTAAGGAAGAATAGAAGGTATAACAGTGTATTTTAATGTAATACATACACACACACATACGCACAGTGGTGTGTGTCTGCTATAAGTTTTGACTTTTGACAGAATAACTGTCTTGTTCAGAAGTTTAGGCAGGAAAGTGTAGTACTCCTTGGAATGCTTTTGCTCAAGCCAGTAGCTGTCTGTTACTCCATCTGTATCTAACAGCTAGAGAGAAGCTCTTAGAAGACGCTCTCATCTAACCCTGGCTATCCTGTTGGTCTTAAGGTCTTAAGGTTAGATTATCTGACTCACAGCTCTCATGAACCTAAGAGATACCATTGCTTTTGGATTTAAGAGGATTGGTAGTTCCTCTTGCCAAATCCAGTTCCGTCATGCCTTAAGACCCAAATTATTACTTTGAAGGATAGTTTCCGCTGGTTGAAACAATGGAAAGGATGAGTAAGACTGAAGTAATATAATCCCACTCTAAACATCTGACTCCTCTAGGGCTTCCTCCCTTTGAAGTTAGCAATTATCCTACAGAGTGCTCATCACCACCTCTACAAATTTAGACCCCAAGGTTTTCTCCAAACTGCAAATCACATCAATGAAAGGGCGTTAGATATGGCTAAGCCAAACAAAGTCTGATAAGAATTTTAAACCAGCCTCATTTCAGCTGCCATCATGTAAGAAAAACAAACCACTTCATTCTTTGTTGTGGAAAATAGTAGACATCAGTTCTGGCATCCACTAAGAAAGGAGACTGGAATAAGTCCCTGAATCATTATAGAATCGGGTTGGTTTGGAAGTGACTTTAAAAATCATCAAGTTCCAAGCCCCCTACCATGGGCAAGGACACCCTCCATCAGGTTGCTCAAAGCACCATCCAACCTGGCCTTGAACATTCCCAGGGATGGGACAACTGTAACTTCTCTAGGCAAATGCTTCCAATGCCTCACCATCCTCACAGTAAAGAATTTCTTCCCAATACCTAATCTAAACCTGTCCTCTTTCAGTTTAAATAAATTCTTCTTGTCCTATCAATACCCACCTATGCAAAAATACCCTCTCCCTCTTTTTTATAAGCCTCCTTTAGCTACTGGAAGGTTGCTCTAAGATCTCCCTGGACCCTTTTCTTTTCCTGGCTGAACACCCTTAGTTCTGTCAGCCTGTCTTGATAGGAGAGATGGTCCAGCCCTCGGATCATCTTCATGGTCATCCTCTGGATTCATTCTAGGTCCACAGCTTTCTTTTGCTGAGGACTCCTGTATCTGGGATCCTTCCCTCTGACTCGAAGTCTTCCATGTGGAGGTTATGGGTGCACAGTAGAAACAGATGATCTGGAACTGTGACTAAATATTAGCTGCATTCAACAAGATTAAAAAATCTATTTGGACAAAATATTAACATATTACACTTGTTGCCTTTTCTTCCAGATCTATCAACATGCATAACATTATTACCTCTATAAAACTACAACTTATTTTGCTTCTTCAAACTTTAATAAATTCAGTAAACTTTAAACTGCTGTACTTTAGAAGTTCACTACTTCAGACTTAGTGCTGTTTCTGTTTAATGACCACTGGAGACATAATGTGCATGTGCAGGCCAGATAAAGAAGGTTCTAATTTAACCTAATTAAAAATCAAGAATATTACCAGTGTCAGTATGGAGCTTGAAAAGATAATAGCTTCAAAAATTGTATGTAAGAAAAAATAAATTTAATTTAGCAAATGAAAAAATGAAAAAATAAATTTAATTTAGCAAATGAAAAAATCCACAAAAAAATAACCCCAAAAAACTGTGGGCTTTTCAATAGTTCTTTCCACACTAACTAATTAGCCTCTTAGGTTATGCTTATGAAATAAGTATAAGTATAAGTATATATATTCTGTTAGTATTGAATAGATTTTTGGTTTTCTTTGCAATCATCAATCATGAAGTCTTTTGTCTTGGCTTTGTCCTTTATTTTTTTAAATTTTTGGTTTTCTTTGCAATCATCAATCATGAAGTCTTTTGTCTTGGCTTTGTCCTTTATTTTTTTAAATTTTTTTTTCTTTTATATATTCTGGATTTTTTGCCTTTTACTTCCCTTTGGTCTTTGGGGTTGCTCTGAAATGAAAATAATAGCTCAGTTCTTAATTTTATCCGCTAATGAACTGAACAGCTGTGCTCTTTCTGTGATTGGATAATTGTTAAAAGGTATTTGAAAGCTTTATACAAATATCTTCAGCTATGAATATATTGTTTTTACTAGACTTCATGGGTTTATTATGTTTTATACAGTAATGTGTAAAAATCAGAGATTGATATTACACTGATAGTTTCTTCCAGGTATCAACAAGCAGATCTGGTCCCTTAATCCTGAGAAGATAAATCCAAAGGCAAGAGAATGTCTGAAAAGAGCAGCTTTGGGTCTCTAATAACTGGAGTACAAGACTAAGTCTTCTTCTGGGATGCAACGTAACTATAGACTCTGATATATATGTATATGTATTCTGATATTATTCAACCACTTGAGATAACCACTGCAGTTTATCTAATGCACTGGAAATTTTGTAGTAAAATAATGTTAATATAATAGTTCTTAAACCACTTCTGTGGCTGTTATTAAAGAAGCAGGCAGAAGAATTAAGATATCACCACGCTTGGTGATCTTTGCCTGTCATCTGGATCCACATTGCCACAGTAAGAGTTAAGCTGCTTTACTTAACAGTAAGGAATGAACAAAAGCAGTTTTAATAATGGTGGTGTTACCATGTGGTACTTATCTAAGCAATAAGTGATGCAGTGTAATTGCAGGCTGAATTAGGTCACACTTCGTCACATGGCTTATTCTAAATTGATGTTACTTCTGTTTGATTGTCCTTTCAAGAGCAGCGATGTACTTCAATAAATGAATAAGCTTGGGCAACATTTCCAGAACTGTTTAAAACTACAAAATTAGGCAATTGCAATTCATGTAGTCTATGACAGAAGTACTATTACTGTCATAGAAACTAGCAGAGCTTATGACTACAACTCATGATTTATTCTGCAGTCAGTTGAACATAAACCAGTTGTAATAATATTTAAAGCACAATATCTGATACGTGTAAGAGAGACAGTCCATATTTGGATGACTAGCAAAGAAAACCTCAACTACTATCATGTTAGGGACATAAAGTACTTTTAACTGAAGAAATTTTGTAGACAGTTCTTAAAAGTTGTTTGTACACAATTCCCTTTCTCCTGAGGGGGATGCAGTTACTTTGTTTAGATTCTAGGCAAAGAGCTTACAAACTGTCTACAAATAGGTCCTCAGTTCAGAAAGCATGGAAAAAGCAGTGACTTACTCCAAGTGCTCTGCTGTGGTTTGAAGAAATGAACGTTAATCCCAGAAGCAGCTATTGGAGTATAATGCTTAGACTAATGTGCTCTAAAAAACTAGTTTGGGTGGGTGCAAGCTACAAGGATGCAGCTACACTGTCACTGTCTCCAGGCACACTTCATTTGCCGTTAGCTGAACTATATTTGGACTATTTTCACTGATAAATGTACAGCATGTCCTATGTTTTTACAGTCCTTAGCATATTGGGGCCCTGCTCTTGACTGACCTCTAGACTGCACAATGATGCTAATAATAAATACCAGGGAAATAAATGATGACTTAACACGTTTGATATATGTCCTCCAGTATGGAAGAGCGATATGAATATGTACACCAGCACACTGTAAGCAGATTCTGATGTATGCTATATATTTTTAGCACAATGGCCTTGATCCAGATATTCCTGACAACATCTTCTACTGTCTTTCATCATTTTGCAGTGAATTTATGTAGGATACTCTAGATTTGAGGTAGCTGTGGTCTAGAATTAAAATAAATGTTGTATAAAAATGTAGTTTAGTAGCACCCTTTAGACAACTGCTGTGCAAACAACTGTCTGTTAGAGAAAAATAAATGACTGAATAGATGGCCCTGAATAGATTGTCCGAGTGTTCATATGTTGTGCTGCAAAATAAACATAAGTCTAGAAGAGAAATTCACTTCCTCTGCTGCCTGTTTTCTATGCTTTACTGTTTATAAATAATTGTTTTTTAAAAACAAATAACAATATTTAGAATTCCATTGCTGTCCCTCCTATGATAAACTTCTACAAAAAACAGCTCAAGTAAATTCAGATGTGGTAGAGGGCCCACCCAAAAGTTAAATAGTAGTACTGATTATAGCAATATTTCTTATGACCTCATGTGAAGGGAGGTTATAGGACAGAAAGTAATGAGACTGGTAAAGGAAGAATACTATTACTTTATTTAGCTGAGATCTAGTCAACACCTTAAATTGTCCTCATTCTTACTGCGTATTAAAATGGTGCTGAGAGGTTCCAACCAGGACTTGGCATTAGAGAGACACTGTAATATTTTCTCCAATTTTACACACAGTCAGAGCAGGAACAGAGAGAAAGGAATTAAATGTGGAGAAGTTTTATAATGGGCCATAAAACTGCTGTTAAATCTGTAGGTGGCATTTGCTAACATCATAGTCTGAACTAGGAGAACTGATGAGGAAGAGTAAAAAAAAGAAGAGCAAGGATGGCAAAAGGAAGTGCATTTAGCAGGAAGTGAAGTGAAACTGAAGTGACTATACCCAACTGATCATTAAAAACACAATAATGTTGCAAAGAAAAGTACAGGAGGAAAAAAAATCATATGCTGATATTGTCAGTGGGTGCCTGATAATTCTTGCTGAAGCTGCCTCAGTAGCTTCATGTGACAACCTAAAGTATCAGACAGAAGAATAACTGCCTGTAACAGCAATCTTGATTTGGTTCAAGGTGAAGCTTTGTGGATGTTTTATCTTCATCTGCTTTCAAATACAAAAAAAAGGTGCTGTCAACATCTGTGGCAGTTTAAAATCATTCATAGTAATAAACTTCTATTAGTCATCTTCAGATAAGAGTACAGAAAAAATCCAAACAAAAAATGCAGTCATGATTAGAATTTCATGTACATAAAGTTATGACTGTGATTTACAACATACTTTTCAGGCATAGGACTCAAGATATTCTCCCAAAACATCCAAGACATTAAGAAAGCTCTCAGCAGAGACCAAAAGAAGTAGCAAAAAAATGCCAAAATAATAAGACTTTTTACTCAGGCAATTTAGCAAGGAAAAAAGTTCATAGATCTGGTGGACTTGCTAAGGGTGTTATGTGAGTAGATGTTGCTTGACATTCTGAGTGTTTTATCTGGACTACTAATACATTCCCTTCCCTGGACTTGTAAGATTCAGCTCATCTCATATGCAGGCAAACTGCTCCTGCAGTTGTTTTTTTTCTTTAGATCATCACTTTGGTATCTCACCTTTAGTTTGCCAAGCTCATTTAGTACTGAGGCAAGAATCTTTTGCATATCTATCTTCACTCTGCATCTTTAAGAAGGATGTTGGAATTAAGCCCCTGATGCCAGGGGTTGATGCTCTTCTCTCTGTCATGAACGATCAGCCTGGGTGGTTGAAAGTACTTTTGCCATCACAGATACTTTAGTTGTTTGGAATTGCATTTAATCTTAAAAGATAATTAGTGTTGTCTTCTTTGTTATGCAACTAAAATCTATGGAAAGAGAATCATATCACATCTCTCAGTTACAGCTGTAATTATTGTGGGAGGGTTAGAAGTCCCTGTGTGTTCATAGTCTGTTCCTAAAAGCATAATGCCTCCCTCAGTAGCTACAGACCAGACTTCCCGAGCATTCCTTCAGTGCCCCATTGTTAATAATTTAAAATAAAAAAAGGAATGGGATAGAGTGAATGAAAAAAGGCCACCTGAGGTTTCACTGAAGAAGTCAGTTAGACTTGTGAGTAGAAAGAAACCTAAAAGATTGTTGGCCAGGCTGCAGTGAATGCTTATTTGCATAAACCTACAGGTTGTGTCTTCTTCTTCCATGAAATGTTAATTTTGTGTGCAAACTCATGGCTTTGGAGGGATGAACCCTCATAGACTCAAACTGTGACTGGACAAATGTACCAAAGACCAATCCATTGTGTACTGCTAAACTCAATGATGCCATCTCAGGGTGTTTCTGGACCACAACTCCCCAGAGCTGGAAAGCATTCATGCTTGGCTGGTTTACCTTCCTTCTTTCATGACAATTATTAATGCTGAATCTTCATCCAGATGCTCACCCTTAAATAAACATCTCATCCCTTCAAATGAGACATATTACCAGTATATTTCTCTTCCTTCCCAAATAGATGGGGATTTAGAAATAAATGCAGGAGGAATCACAGAACAGTAAATGAAAATAAGTGGCATCAAGTTGTGACAGGAAAAGTTATTGGATATTAAAAAATATTTCTTCACAGAAAGGGTTGTCAAGCATTAGAAGAGGCAAGTAGTTGACTCACCATTCCTGGAGGTATTTGAAAGATATGCAGATGTGGCATGTGGAGACATGGTTTAGTAGTGGACTTGGCAATGCTATATTTACAGTTAAATTCAATGATTTTAAGAGTGTTTTACAACCAAAATGATTTCATGATTCTATGAAAAAATAAGATGAATGAGAAGAAATAGCATAGAGCACTCTACATAGCAATGGCTATTTGTGGAGCAAGAGCTCTGGCCTGACTCAACAGGTCTGTTTTCAAGGTAGCTATAAAGCCTTACCAACATTAGTTAACTTTTGATTTTCTCGATAATGTCAACACTTTCAACATTCAAAACAAATGGTTCTAGTCGAACAGGGTCAATAAACATTTCTCATGGTCTGCAACAGGCATTGTAAAATTAAAACTAAATATAAAAATTGTGCTGTGAATCCCACTTGCTTTTGAAAACAGGTAACTATTGAGCAGGAAAACGGGCAACCCTAATAGAACAGGAAGCGTCACCAGGAATTTCTGTGGGGTCCATAGTTTCGCATCTTGCAAAAAGCAGTTGCACATTTTGTGCTCCCACGGTAATTTTTCGGTCTCACTGTTGAAATGCAGATTTGGAGGTCAGAAGCACAGCAGCTGCCAGAGTACCCCTGTGCTTTACAGACTGGTTTGGATTCAGGCAGTTTTACTCAGGGCGGAGAGCCAGGGCACTCGCACACCCACGGGGTTATCCTGTGTGGGCCGGGGATCTGGGCCGCTCAGCCGCCGGGACATTCACGCTCCCTCCTCCGGATGTGGCCTCAGCTCCCACGGCTGCCGGCGGCCGCCTCGTTGGGACGGGGCGGGCCAAAACCCGGCGGCCGCGCCGGCGACGGAGTGGGAGGGGAGGGAGGAGGTGACGGAGGAGGTGACGAAGGAGGAGCCGGCGGGGCGGTGCTGGCCGAGCGCGGCGGCCCGGGCCCGCCC